GAGAGAGAGAGAGAGAGAGAGAGAGAGAGAGAGAGAGAGAGAGAGAGAGAGAGAGAGAGAGAGAGAGAGAGAGAGAGAGGGAGTGAGTGAAGGAATGTATGGTAAAGATAGAGGGCAAGAAGTATAAGAGCACTTCTATAGATAAGGTTGTCCTTATGCCGTTACGCTGTTATGCTAATTAACGAATGCTATGCTATTATCCTCGAGAGTAGAGGCGATTGCAGACTCAAATTATAGGCGTTGATTACTCCTCTCTTCAGCTTCTTTCAACCACCGGGACAGAAACGAATGCCTTATGACAGAAGAGCTGGAAAAGAAAGAAAATGCCAATGCTGAGACCGAGTCTTGAATAACTTTCATAATTCTCGCTTTTCCTTAGCCCCCAGTTTCATACTAGTGTGTTTGCTTTGACTCCCTCCCAGTCTTCGAGGAGTTTCCATAATGCCCTCTCTTTTTTTGAAGTAAGTTTTTTTCCTTAACTCACAGTTGTCATTGTCGATAGTGTGAAGAATAGCTGCGCACCTGCTTTGATAACGAGCAAGGACAGTCCTTTCTCTCCATCCACCTTGTGGTTTCGCCATGGCTTGAAATGGGTGCTTCCATAGCCATCACCGTAAAGCTTCGACGTTCGTAACGACCTTCACCATAGCTCTGGAGGGTCTATAGTGTGGAGAACAGCTGCGCATCTGCGTCAACGACACACAAGGAGACCTCGCTTTCGCAATCCACCTTTCGGTTTTCACCATAGCTTGCAATAGGATCGTTCATGACCGTCACCACATTGCTTTTGACATCCACAGCCATCTTCCCGATGCACAAGAGCTTTCATAGCCATCACCGCACAGCTTCGACTTTCAAAGTCATCTTCACCATCGCTCCGAAGGCTCTTTCTTGCTGCACAAGAGCTCTCATGATCATCACCACATAGCTTTGACATTCACATGGTTCCGGCGGATGCATATGTGATCGCCGAGTTGTTGACGCATACCATCCTATCCTTTTTTCTCAAGTCACAGTTTAGCTCCAGAAATCCAGGTCCCGTGCATCGGTGATTACATGGCTTGAAACCTCCTGGCCATTACCAATATCATCCCAGAGACCGCTTCGCCTGTCTGAACACACGCAATCATCGCCGGGAGTTCCTGACCAGGAGGTTATCCGTCTACCCCTTCTGTCGCTTGCAATCCTGCTGCACGAAGGAGGAGGAGGAGGAGGAGGGGGGGAAGAAAGTCTTCGCTTGGCCCGTACCGCACCCGTGCCCACCTCGCCATCCCATCCGGATCCCATCCCAGCCTCTGCTTTGGGTACTTGCATGGGATCAGGACCAGATGAGCGGAACCTACTGGAGAATGAACCACCTTCGTTGGAGTAGGAGGAAGTTGCTGAACTATCGGCAGCAATGGAAGGAGGAGGAGGAGAAGAAGAAGAAGAAGAAGGCGCGGGGCGTGTCACCCTCTTCTTTTCTTCCAGACTGACTACTACAGTCTCAAGTCTCCGGCAAATGAAATCGGCAAGACGATCCAGCTCATCCCTCTCGCGAAATCCAACAAGGTGAGCACACTCTTGACGGAAACTCTCGTCCGTTGATTGCAAGACGATGGACGACACACATTTTGACAGATCAGGAATGCAGCGCCGTACCTTCGCCTGGTACATGCTGTCGAAGATCGTCGGCTCGTTTGTCTTCAGTTCGTCGAGTGCCATTTCCACAGCCTGCTTCACTAATCTGCTCTCGGTTCTTGTCGATGGCTTTTCGCCCTCCGATACCGGCACTCCAAACGGCGCATACTGATGAAGGATAAGTTCAATTTTTGAAATTGCATCTGTAGCGACCGATCGCATCTGTAGCTCACATCTCAACTCCATTCCGTCGCCGCCGCCACCGCCGCTGCTGCCACTGCTGATACTGAGGCTGGCACGACCGTCATCATTTTTCTCCACTTTCAGACCATAACCTTCCCACGCCACTCTGCTTTGGAGTACTTTCGAAACGGACTGTGGGAGAATCTGGTAGGCGAAATTGCTGAAGAATATTATCTCTGCGCAAATCCTTCCTTTCTCGCTCGGAGCAAAGAGTGACGCCGATCTGCGGCTGCCGCCATCCGGGACAGACAGATGCTCCGCCTCCTGCTTGCCGTTGATGTCAACGACTTCTTTCAAGTATGCAATCACGCATGCGTGCACTGTCCACGGTGTCCGCCTCGACCCTGCTTCAAATCCTGCTCCTCCTATCCCCATTCTCCACCTTGACGCTAGAACACCATCTCTTTTGACCTTCATGTCTCCTTCTCCGATGCTACTCGCATTACGCCTACTGCTACCATGGCTGTTACCTACACTACAACTACTAGCAATAGTGAGCACATCACTACAGCTGCCTCCGCCCTTGCTGCTCGAAGGGTAAGAGGTTTCACTCCTCCGAAGATCGTCAACTTGGTCGACGCATTCAACTTGGTTGAATTCGTCAGCGCCGGTGTCCGATGGTGATCCTAATCGACGGGATAGGTAGCCTTCTATGCCAGTTTTCAGCCTCTCCAGATTTGTGCATGTCGCGGGGGCTGCAATTCCCTCTGCAAAAGTCACGAGCATGTGCGATGATGCGCCCAATGCTGTTGACGATTCAGGCCGTTGTCTCGTCTCGTGGCCAGGAAGGTTTGGAAGATGGTGAAGATGGAGCTCTACAAGAACCTTCATGTTGAGAATTGAGAGCTTGTAACAAAGGGATTCAAGGTAAACAACGCAATCCTCAAAGGAGCGGCCATTGAGCATCACCGACCTCTCCGAGCCGCTGAAGGCTCCTCGGGGTTTCACGAGCGATGCCAGCTGGACTATTTCTGGCTGCGATTGAAAGCGCAACTTCTGCAACTTGGAGTGGGGTTGCGATCTTCCCACCCGGTCCTGTTCTATGGTCTCCTTCATTTTCCGGTCCACTACGACTCTCACCGCATACCGACGAATCTCGGCATCTTCTATCGTGGTGGTCATGACAAGGATCTCACCATTCCACACGACCTCCGGTGTGTGGTGCACGGTGCACGGGGTGGAGCAGTCCATCGTCTCTCCCAGAATCCGCCTGCAGTGTGCCGCCATCAGACCGTCGCTTATCCCTCTCCCAGTGTCGGCGAAAGTCAGCCGCACAGCTGGCGACAGGTGGTCGTCATCTCCCTCTTCTCGTCGAGCCGTGATCGTTATCCTCTTCGCCTCGTCCAATGCACTCCCGGGCCGACAACTTCGGAAGCAGTCAGCAAGCAGTGTGCGGATCAGCGCCCGCACTTGGCGATGACACTTCGCACACGCCTGGCCCATAACTGCTAGCTCCCGTCCATCGTCAAAAGCTTCCATGACCGCACTCCGCCAAGTCGCACCACCCTGAGCTTCCGCAATCGTAGTGAGCACTACGGAAACTTCAGAGATGTCCTCAACTTGCACTCTCGCACAGAAAAGCAGAACGGACGGAAGACTGTGGAATTCAACGAGACGTCCCCGGCGCATGGGACACCGTGGGCCTTAGACAGATGTCCCTGGTGCATCTACTCTACACTCGCTTCATTCTGTGCCCCCACCTACCAGCTCCTACGCGGCAAAAGGATTGTCGTGGAAAAAGCCTCCTGGTTGGTGGGGCTGCAACATTCGAATTTCAGAAGAAGCAAGTGTGCATGTGTATCAAGTTCTTGTATGCAAAATGGAAAGAAAAATGACTAAATATATATATATATATATATAGTCAAACAGAGCTGCCTATATATATAATAATCAAATATGTTAAAACGACTACATTCTCTGAACGTGAACTACTCTGCTGAAAATCAGGGCCAGGGAGACAAATAAATCGAGTAATGGTCCAAACTTTAACTCCCGGCAAACGAATATTTTGCCCCTCGAAAAAAGTGGGGGGGGGGGGAATCTACCTCTAAATAGTAAATCATTAACATACCTGTTCAAATTGCAAAAAAAAAAAGAAAACGAAAAAAAAAACACTAAAACACCTATCTCCCAGTATCTGGGATGTTCACAGAAAATGGTCATCACTCAGATCAAAAATGAAAAGGGAAAAAAAAGGAAATTAATAAAGGCGAAACCACGCCGGAGTCACAGAAACGAGTTATAATTGAACTATGTGCCAAGATACAGTTTCGAATTGCAGTTCGGACAATGTATACAACACAGCTTTCTGGCCAGGTGTAGGGTGCCCGAAGTGCAATTGCAAGCTGTATCTTGCCCCTTGGTGCAATTATAACTCGTTTTCGTGCCTCTACTGAAGTTACCCCATTAATAAATTGTCTCCTAAGTCAACGATACTGCAATAAAAAAGTCTTTGTTCCCAAAAAAAAAAAAAAAAAAAGAAAGAAAGAAAAAAAAAAGTCTTTGGGACCACTGATTCACTGATTCATTGCATCTGTTCCGACCGTCCCAAAGACTCCTCCATTGGATCTGACAAGTGAATGTAGAGACCGTCAAAACAGATGCAATGAATATTCGACCATTGATTCGTTGGCAAGGGTACTTTTTTTTTTTTTTTTAATAAGATAAATGTTTCTTTTTTCCCCTCACCATGGGGAGCGTGCTCCCGCCAGCAGTGCGCCGCACTGCAGTTAGAAAACAAAAGATTACCTTCTTCCCCCGAACACAACGTACTGACTGCGAGCGTTTGACCCCTCTCGGCATATGGGCCCTGCAGCAGGCGCGTGCCCGCCCTACGTGAAGGCGGGCCCCCTGAATCTGAATGCGCACTGAACTCGTCAATTTTGCAAATCTTGGTCGGCGCCAGACAGTTGCCACGAGCCAGTTGGTTACATCCGCCTTGCACGTGAGAATGTGAAAGATTCGTGAGCATCCGCCTTGCACGTGAGAATGGGAAAGATTCGTGAGCATCCGCCTTGCACGCGAGAATGGGAAAGATCGCGAGCCTTCCAGGCCCTTCCAGCAACGTGGGGTAAGCAGGGAGCATCGCACGATTGTGCGTGGGTGGTTGGGCATGCCTAACCAAATCGGTCCCATGCCGCTGTCTGAACGGGCCTGGGCACAGACACCTTGGCCGAGACTGAAGCTACTGGGATCTCGGTCTCACGTGTGCATGGCCAGGCAAAGCGCCCGCGACTTTCCATATAGGAAAGGGCCGGGCGCCGGGTTTGGCATTCGGGCACTTGCAAGTTGCGGGCGGCAGCGCTGCTGGAGCAATTGCTCGCGGACTGCTAGCTGCACTACTGCAGGTGCTGCGAGCATGCGCGGACGTGCAGGCTGTAGGGCGCTGCCCATAGCCAGCCCCACGTAGCCGGGGCCCGGCTTGGACATAGCCAGTGGAGGTGGTGGTGGTGTTCGTGTATGGGAGGAAGACGTGGGTAGACAAGTCGAGGGAGAGAGAGAGATGATGATGAGGATGTGAGGGCACATACCTGGTCTTGGTGATTGTCCACAAGGGTCGACATCTTCATCTACTTCAGTTCGGCTGCTGACGTCAACAGTTGCATTGTCAATTCATAGGCTGGTAGTAGCTGTGTGATCGCAGTCTGGGCGTCGAGCGCCAGGTAGGAGGGAAGGGCTCTGGATACTTACTTATGTTGGTGCTGACGAGGGTATGCTCTCATTGACACTCGGATTCAGTGCTTTGGTTCTCCATTGGTGTAATATCGGTGCAATTCTGCTTTCTGGACAGTGTCGGACTTCCAGGCTTTCAATGTGATTTTGCAATCTGGAATCTGTCATTTCGCTACTGCTTTACGGTCATTATAGCTGTATTTGAGGCATCGTTCAGTCTAGATACGGCTATAATGACAGTGTGTTGTATTCGGGGGAAGGAAGTAGTGTCTTCCTTCATTTCCCGTCTTTGCCCGAATACAACACACCCTCATCATGGCCGCATATAAGCCATCTCTCCGACCCAAGACAGTGGGATGTATTTGGCGGAAAACAGCAGAAAGCATAGGGGATGTATTATACTATACTTGTACCTGCCCTGACGCTTGGTCCCAAAACAGTTACATATAACAACCATGCCTTCTATTAGGGAGACGACAGGAGGGCTGACATTCCTGCCAGCTGTCTACCGATGGCCCTAGCTCAGTTTTGGTACACCCACTGAACTGTTGAAATACAGACCCAAGTTTGAATCCAGACGCGACAAAGACGACCAGAATAAAATCATTCTGGATTACCCGAGACCCGTCAATTCAATGATCATATCCTATCTCAAGGCCATCGCCTTTCTGACAAACAAGAGGGGAAGAAAAATAGGAAAAAGAAAAAGAAAAAAGAGGGAGGAGACCAGAAAAATGGTAAAGTCAGATCTCCAAAGGTGCCAGACAGGATTCTTTTGGGGCAGAGGGGGGGGGG